AGGTCGTGTGCGAGTTAGGCTAAGTTGCGTTCTAAATGAGGGAAATACTAAGTTGTGCCGATAATGTAGTGATGTGTCGATACGTGTTGATAAATGGCTAAATATGTGCAGTGCAAAAAATCCCAAAAAATCTCCCATTTGGTTTAGTATCAACTTAGCCTAACTCGCACACGTCCTAAGGTATGTCTGAACATTATATAAATCCTTAATTTTTATTTTAAATAAAGCAAAAATTATTATTTAATAATTTTTAAATTGTTATTTATTGTGCATATATTATTGATTTATTTGTTTGTTAGTTCTAAGATGATGCAACAAAAATGTTTTTCCTCAACACATTTTTAAAATAAATAAAAATCCAATGCTTCTCAAAATCAAATTAAATTGAGAGAAATAGTAAATTATGTCGGTATCGCAGTAAATTCACCATAATTTCGTGTAGGGTAAATTGGATAAAAATTAAGTATCGTCATCTTGAAAATTTTATAAGATATTTAATAAAAAAAATAAATAAATTTGAAAACTAGAAACCAAAAATAATAAAAAAGTCCAATAAATAAATATTTACATAAATACAGTGCAAAAAATCCCTATGAAATATGAATTTACTTTACCTGTATTTACTCGAACACGACCTATTTCGGAAACAGTGTTTTCAGTTTAGGTAGTAATCCTTTATTCCATACTCTATGAAAGGAATACTCTGTATGTCAAGAAGACAGACAGAACACACTTTCTTCTTCACCATAGCCGTTTTAATAGTATTTACACAACTCAGTGAAATTTAAAAAAAATGCAAAACTTATACAAATAAAAAAAAGAACTTCTTAGTTAAGAAATTATATACAATATTTTCAATAATGAGGTCTGGACATGCCAAAAAAACATAGAATTTCAATTAATTTCATATTAATTCTTGACTTAATTAAAGATCTTCATTTTCAATCATTTGCTGAAGTATTTTTTATCTACGATGTGAAAAGTGAAGAAATATATTTTTGTAATTGACTAATCGAAATAGTCTACCATTATTGATTTTAATTCTTCAAATATTTGAAGTTGTTTTACAAACAATACCGAAAACTCTTTGTAGTTTATGTTAAATTGCAAACACACCACGAAACTATCAATTGGTGAGTTTTTGTTTCTAACGATTGCCTTAGGCAAGCTACGTTACTACCTGTAAAGAATTTTCTCTATTTAGCAACATTTATGCACTATTCGTCGTAAATTTTATGCACATCAGGTATAATCGTATAAATATATAAATTGTTTTCATAAAAACATTCAACTCTACAATTGAAGCACAGGTAGCAGCGCGACCTTTCATTTGTTCCGTTTCCAGTCTTTCCAGGTATTTTGATTGTTTCGTTCTGTTACGACAACCAATGTTTCACTGAAGTGATAAACTGAATTTAAAAATACGTTCTTTGCCATTCAGACGTAAACAGTCGGCTGGTTTGTTCCGAAGTTGTTTGGTTTTGTAATAAATTTAGTGAGTTTAGTACTAGTTACTTTCTAACTGATCATTAAGAGAAATTCATCTAAACTTTAAGCTCGACATCTTTAAAAGAGTTAATCAATAATGGCGGATGATTGGCAGTCTCAAAAGTTCCGACAAAGTGTCATTGCGAAAATGTAAAATTAGTTAATCATTTAAGTTTGTGTAACGTTAATCACATATATTTTTATATTTATTACTAGAAATGAAATTTTGCAAACAACTGGGCAGGATCCCACAAAGAATCCGAGTGTAATGGAAAGTCATATTTTCAAGAAATCTCGAAATAAAGACGAATATTTAAGTTTAGTTGCGAAACTCTTTATACATTTTAAGGAATTAGCTCAGAGTAAGATATAATTTAGTTTGTATGTCTTTAATGTATTTATTAATAGTTGTATATATTCATAAAGGACGTCCACAGCAACCGCCACCTCCAAATTCAGAAATAAATCAACAAAATATGATGCAAGATCCACTAAATGCACTGCAAAACCTTGCAAGTCAAGGCAATCGCAATTCTCAAATTATGTCCATGCCTGGTGTTTCGAACAATAACCAAATGCCTGGTCCAGGTGGACCTGTTGCTGCTTCTAATTTACTACAAAGTTTAAATCAACAACGCCCTGGTCAAATACAGCAAATGCAGGGAATACGTGGACAACTGCCGTTAAACAGCAACAATATCGGTGGTCCTAATCAAGGTCCCAATTTAGTTGCTTCTGGTGGGCAACAATTGGTGCCACAAATTGGAACAAATATGGGCAACAATATGCAAATGAATGTGATGGGAACAGGTCAGCAACCGCAACTGGTTGGAAACGTTCAACAAATGGGCAATGTTGTCGGACAAATGGGTCAGATGCCACCTAATGGTCCTGGTTCTGGTGTAGCGCCAGGTGCTGGCGGACAAGCAGTAGGCCCAAATCAAATGCAAATGAACGTGGGACAGATGCAAGGCGGTCCAATTAATGTGAACACAATGAATGTACAGCAAATGACGCAGATGCCACAAATTAATCAAAACCAAATGAATGTAATTGTCAACATATTTTATTTTTGATATATTTATATTATATCGAATTTAATGTAAATTAAATAATTTTTGCTATTAACTACTTTTCAAATATACTTCTTTGTACTGGAAGTATGAAAAAATGCTGTAGCATTAAAGCACTTTTTACAATAATTTATTTATATAGTTTATAACTTACTGCTTTATTAGTATTTTAATTAATTAATTATTAATATATTATTATATATTACTTACTTATCACATATTATTATATATTAATTGAGTTTCTGTTACACAGATGGGAATGAGCCATCCACAATTAAATCAAATGATGAATTCACGCATAGGCCAAGGTGGAGCTATTAATGTTGGTTCCAATGTAACATCACAAAACATGCAAGGTATGCCTTCAAACTTACAAGGTCAAGTTGGACCAATGCATCAAGGTGGTATAGTCGGCGGACAACAAAATCAACAAATTGGTGCAAATATTCCAGTTAATAATGCTCAAACTGGTACGTTTATCTTATTTATTAAACGATATGTTTAAGATATGAATTATATAAATTATTTTAGATAATTTTTTTTTTATTTTTCTTTCATTTCTAAATAGAAATTAACAATAATTTTACGAATCTTAAAAAACTAACATTATGCTATTGAGTTAGAGTATTCATATTTATCAATGATAATATCTATTTTAGGTAATTTAAATCAAATATTAAATATGCCAAACGCTATGCAGAAGAATATGTCAATGGCGCAAAACAATCAATTGTACTCAGTTAATCGTGGTGTTGCTGGTGGACAACAGCAATATTTACGTCAAAGTCCTTCGCCTAGTACAGTGCCTTCACCAGCTGGTATGGGTTCAACACAATTGCAACAACAGGCAAATGCTAATCAACAGCAGGCACAGGTAGCGCAGTTACCTAATCAGCAAATGATACCAAGTCCCGCATTGGTTCCCTCATCTAGTCCCCAAATGTCCAATTTAATGCAAAATAATCAACGTAACTTACGGCAATCACCAAGTGCTCCCTTAAATACACCAGGACAAGTGGCTAATAACAGTCCATTTAATCCTCAAGAGGATCAGTTGTATAGAGAAAAATATAAGCAATTAGCTAAGTACGTTGAGCCACTAACGCGTATGGTTGCCAAAATTGGTAATGATGGAACTAGTAAGTTGAATTGTTTACAATATATTAATAAGTTTTTATTTAAAACAATTTTCTTTTAATTTCATTTAAGATGTCGAAAAAATTACAAAAATGAGCAAGTTATTGGAAATACTAAGCAATCCAACAAAACGCGTACCACTGGAGACATTATTAAAATGTGAAAAAGCCTTAGAGAAAATGGAAATAGTTTCCTATTCTGGTCAACAATTTGCAGTATGTGTGGCATATTTTTCCAATATTAAATCTTTTATAACATTTTTCTTTTGTTTTTTTTAGAAATCCACTAATCCTCTATTGGAAGTACTGAACACAACAATACAATCTCCTCTCGCTAATCATACTTTACATCGTACTTTCCGCCCAACATTTGAAGCACTATTCGGAACAGATATACTGTACTTTAACTATAACTTTTAAATAACTTGAATTTATTAAAGTTTAATATTATCTTATATTAATAGCATTCCATCTCTACCAAAAATACCACGCTTAAGTGAGGAACCGAATGAAGGTGAATTTACTATACCGCATGTTTTACAAGGAGAAATTGCACGTTTGGATCAAAAGTTTAAAGTAACATTGGATTCGACAGTACAAATTAGTGCAAAACTAATAAAGCTTGTTTGCTGCCTTGACGATAAGTGTTTACCTAACGTCCCACCAATCAGCGTTAGCATACCAGGTTTGCAAATTCAATTCTATATTTTTTTGAATAATTAAATAATATAAAATCTTGAAATATGGAGGTACATGTCAATAGAAATTCCCTTGATAGTTTAACATTCGCATTTATTTCACATTCTACTTCTAAAAATAAATTAAATTATTAGTATTTGGGCAATCGAAATACAATATACAATATATTGTTATAGTAACCCATTTGGACCTGTAAAGCAGATAACAGGCAAGGTTTACAAGACGATTAAATGGGTTGGGTTATAGATGGGGGGTGGTTGAAGAAGGAAGGGGGAATAAAGAAGAAGGATTGGGTATGGGTTGCATGAGAAATTCAAATAAGTTCAACCTGTGATCAGCCGCAAAAGCCTGGCCACTTTAAGAGAGTGGATCCAAAGTTCGATGGGACGAAGGTTTGTGTGCGAAGAGAGGCAAGAAAACAGACGAGCGATGTCATGAGGGGTAGACCTGCAGTTTGAATTAGACGTTTTTATGCGTGACAAGTAATTGTTGTTGTTGTAGCTCCCAAAGATCTATAGAGCAGATAATATGAAATAAATTATAGGACAAATAACTGAATTAAAATGTAGATACGTCTTGGTAGTGTGAGTTGGGAAATGATTATTTAGGAGTAAGAATGAATTAGGGGATGGCTGGTATTTAAATTGAAGTCCACTTCTCTGGGCTTCTATTGTATCCAAAGATATAATCAAATCACATACTTATCTAGCAACAACAAAATATGCAATTATGAATGTTCAGTTTTAATTGTACTTACATTTTTATAACAGAATAACTACTCAAGTATGATAATATTTTCTTTATTAGACCTTTTTTTTTTTAAAGAAATGTGTGATATTTTCGAAGTCAAATTCATAATTTATATACATTAATATGTTGCTATATACAATTTGTTGCTCGTTGTATTAAACGTATGGACATATTGGAAGAAATATGAATAATAATCAAACGAATGAATTTTGAATTTGTGAATGCTCACGCTTACAAGAAAGTTTTAGCAAGTGTGAGAGAGCACTGGAGCGAAAATAACTAACACAAATAAGTCAATAAACAACCAAATAGTTAATACAGATCTTTCAAGTATATTCAGAAGTATGTTACAAAGAAAACTGCTTACAAGATAGCCACTAGATGAAGACCGGGCTACAAGCAAACTGTACTATACTACGCGCTGGAGTGCAATATATGTGCCGGTAACAGTACATTAAATCCGAGACCATCTAATATATAGACTTTCGACGACGACGACTATAAATAGTTGTGTTTTTGCAGTACCACACGGAGAGAAACTTTAAAGTAGGAAGATATATGAATGAATAACAAGATAAATACGCAGGTGGGTAAGATATGTTAGTGGTTAAAATGTCTCGTTAAGCAGAGAAAGGAGGGAAAGTGTGATTGGTGCCTATGAATTGTAAATTCTTTTTGTTCTGCCAGTTTTAGAACTCTGTCAATCTCAATAAATAGGAAATGAAGAAGAGTGAGATGGGATGGATTATAGTAATTTAAATTTAAAGTAACAGAAGTTAATGATTAAGTCAACTACTAATAGACCTGTAAAATTCTTTTTCATAATGGAAAAGTTTCATTAAAGATCTATCAATTTTTCTCACAGATCTAAAAATAAAAAAATGCAAAAGACGGTAAACTAAATAAAAGTTTGAGCTTTAAATATTATTCGAGTTATTCAAAGCTTGAGTATGATTGTGCTAGATCACAAAGATCCTGTCGAAAGTCTTTTAAAACTGTATTTATATATAATAAAATAGTTTGAAGTCATCGTGCAGCTCAAACATCTTTTTATAATTAAAATGTGCAATCGAAATAATCGAATTCAAGTATAATCGAGCAGCTTAAATATCGCAAATAAATAAATAGATAATAATATAATACATAATATAAATGATGTAGAAAATTTGTATTATTTTTTGTTATTTTGAAAATTGAAACTAAAATTGATTTAAATACATATATGTTTTTTTTTTCTTCCAGAGGAATATCCATATGTTTCGCCTGAATGCACAGTTATAGATCAAGAGTATTTAGCCACGCCATTTCTAAAGGCAATACACACGGCCTTATTCTTACGTATTGCAAAACTACCTAAGCTTCATTCTTTATCACACATATTGGACACTTGGGAAATGTCAGTGCGTCAGGCTTGCTCATCATCAGCCAAAACGGGCAATGATCTTGCAAGTATTTTTTATTCACAAATTTAATTATAAGAAAAATTAATAATTATAAACTTTATTTTAATAAATCGAAATATGTTATTTTATATATTTATAAATTATCAAATGAATAAAAATTATTGAACATTTAAAAATATTTCTATATCTTATGACACTTACCATCACCTAATAGCAGCTAATAGCACCTTTCGCTTCAGATTTAATGTATGAGAGATTATAAAATAAGTTTCCGGAGCCACTCGTCAATCTTGACGACCAAGTGCCGTTCATCATCCCCAAAAGGGATTTTACAAGCAAATATCATCACCCTTTCTTTTTCACCTTTCTTGACATATGGTACAAATTTGAGCGCCATCTGTCAATTAGTTTGTTTACAGCAGCTGTTAATGTGAGACTACCTCAAGTGCATTAAGCGATTTTTACTATGGAAAATTCTTGTTGTACGCGATTTTTCGACCAAACACGGCACCACTGTCATCGCTCAGGCACCTTATTCGCCAGATCTGGATCCGTGCGACTTTTTCCTGTTCCCGAAACTCAAACTTCCCCTTCGTGGTAAGCATTTTGAGTCGATTGAATCGGTAAAGGAGAATTCGCTGAAGGAACTAAAAGCCATACTTTCACGGGCCTACGAAAAGAGTATGGTAGACTGGATTAAGCGTTGGCATATGTGTATCGATTTAGAAGGAGTATATTTTGAAGGAGATAAAATAAATTTGGAATAAAATTTAAGTTTGTGTGTTTTATTTACAAAATCCGAGTACTTTTTGAGCAGAAGGTATATCTTGCATACACATTAGTACATTTTTATTTATAAGTATTTAATATATAGGTGTCATTTACAACAGCTTGATGCGGCCTTGCTATTTTCGATTCCACCAGTAATTGAAATTTAAACTTCGCTATCTTTTTCGGATCTATTCGTAAGTGAACGATAGTAAAATATTTTTTCCCATTCAAAGCCCTAACTACGAAAACTACTCACCTTTACGCTGCCTATACGATTTTATGCTCAACTGCATACACTATTGGTCTTTGTCTCCGAGATCCATTATAGTGAACAGTTTCCTCTACCTCGACTTAAGCTTGACTTACAATTAAGACTTTTTCACTACCTCAACCAAACTTTTGTTTCTTACTGTAAACTTATCTAACCATATTCTAGCCCATGTCTTCTTTTTTTCTTTGCTTGATCAAACGAGAGTTGGTGTTTAAAACAGTTTTACTCAATACTGTGTGACCACTTGAATGATCCATTGTAATAAGAGCTACGTTGAATTCTGGTAATTTGTTATTCAGATGATTTTATAGATGTTCCATTGTATGAAACATGAATG